GCACTCACAATCAGTTATCTATTTATTCTCAAGCTATTCTATACGCATTTTATTTATTATTTTTTTAAATTATTATTTTATTAAAAATATTGCAGTGTGTGTGTGTGTGCAATGTATCTGCAACAATAGATAAAAATATTTCTCTTATTATTATTAATTATTTATTATTCTTATAATTTAAAGTACATGTTTACAACGCGAAATTTTTTGTCTTAAACAATGCTATATTTAAATCAAATATATTGTATGTTATATTTATGTTACAAAATGATTGTTTTCACTAAATAATGCTTATTAAAACTAAATAAAATATTATTTCGTTGGAATAAATTATTTCAAACATTTGTATTGTTTCCGTCAAATAATTTGATTTATTTTAACGTAACAATATAATTTTCATTCCACAAAATTGTTGTTTGGTATAAAATTATGTTGTTTGAATGCAACAAATATGAGTCAAACAAATCGGATTATTAAATTTAAAAAAACCGTTCTCTGTGTGTATAAAAACCATATCTTTTACATTAATATTTTTCGAAAAAAAGTTTGGTAATTGTTTAGAACTACAGAAAAATAATAGAACAATTTTATTACTAAAATACTAGTAAAACGATATTAAAGATGAGGGTTGTCCTCTGGTTCAATTGATAAAAAACAAATATGTGTAAGAAGACGGCGAGTATAAATCAAGTATGCAGGGTGTTGTGCAATGAAACGATATGTAATGTTGAAGAGCGAAACGTTTCGACTGTTTATTCAGTCTTCATCAATTGCAAGACTGCAAATATAATACAATAATTATTTTACAATGTGTGTTAAATGTATTTACAAAGTTGTTGATATGTAGAAAGACGGAAAACGCACCTTTATATACACTTCTATTTTAAATAATAACAATGTGTGTTAGACAACGGTTATAATGTGATCAAATGTGAGGATTAAACTAAGGGTCAAAACAATAAATATGTAGTCAAGGTATAAAATGTCGAGAATCAAAGAATTTTATCGATAATCGGTAAGTAAGATTTATTTAATAAGTCAGTATTATTTATAATATTTAAAGTGTTAGCGTGCATCTTGATATGTAGCATTTCCGATGTGGTTCGTTTATAGTAATTCATTTCTTTGTCTAGAATTTTTACTGTGTTCCAATTGAATTTATGGTCGGTGTTTGAACAATGTTCAGACAAGACCGAGTTTTGGGATTTCTTTTTGACATAATTCATGTGTTCTTTGATTCTCGTGCCTAATTGTCTCCCAGTTTGTCTGACATAACAAGCATTACATTTTTCACATTCAATATAATACACAATATTTTTATTCTGATTAAATGTAACGGGATCTTTATAAGTTTTGATATATGTGTTTAAACGAGAAATGTTTCTGTATGTTAATCTGATGTTCATTTTATTTAAAATGTTAGAGAGAGTGTTGGACTTCTCATCAACAAATGATATCACAAAGTATTGAACATTGTCTGTCAAGTGTGTGTCAATATCATTGTTGTTCATATGATTATTAAGTTTTGTAATTAATAATGTTTTTAGACGTTTATTGATGGTTTTAAATACTATATCTATTGGGTAATGGTTGGCTAAGAGAATTTTGATACATAATTTTAAGTTTTTTAGATGAAATACAGGATCTGACAGTAGCAGCGCTCTATCTACAAGAGTATTAATTGTACCGATCTTATGGCATAAAGGGTTTTGAGACAAAAAAAAAAAAAAAATGTAGGTATCTACCGGAAAAATAAAATACTAGTATATTGGCAATAGTAATATAACTCAGCATTTCTGTAAGAAATATTTTTTATCCTTATTTCTTCTTGGAGGCCTGATAGTGTTTGCCTTTCAGCTTATATACTCGAGAGAAGGGATCGACCTGGAAAAAATTCTAAGGTGTTGAATGGATTTGAACTCGTGATCTCCTTGTTCGTAGCCCCTGCACTCAGACTGCGAAGCTATTAGACCTAATTATTAAATTATCTTCTATTTCAGAAACATAAGTAAATTCTACCTCTACATTCGAAATTTCGATGATATTTAAAGAAGTAAATGAAAAACATTACTCTCTTCGGAATGTGAACGACGTCTTTTACAGAAAATTATTACTGGCTATCCTCGGCACAAATATCATCAGTAATTTTGTGCCAGTAATGTACTAGTATGGTAAAATTTTCTTATACAGAAAAGCAATAAAATTATTTTTTTAAAATGATCTAAAATTTGTCAAATAAATATATAATAAAGTTTAACAGATCTCGATCGTTCATGTTCAAAAAACGTCCAGAGAACGATAGAATGTCCTTTGGAAAATCAACATTTAATATAGATAATAGATAAAATAGATAGATATCCTCTAGACATCCAGTGGTTATCCAGAGGACATTTATATTTTTTATACTACATAAAAATTTTAAACTATATTAAATTTTCTATATAATTAAAAGTAATCATGTATGCATAGTAAATTTTCATAAAATGCATTTATAATGATATCTTAAAATGTTCTGTAAATGTCCTGAGCCGTCTTAGATATTGTTAGGATAATCCTAAGGACTCTTATGCTATATGGGATGCTATACCTAGAAATATCTTCAGGATATTAACGTGAGACGTTTTAAGGATTTTTACAGGATATGTGTTGAACATTCCCTGCAAAAAATTTCATATATCTAAGCATATAAAAATTAATATATGTAATTATTATGCAAACTCGATTAAATTTGTTTTCTAACCGATAAACTCAATTGGAAGGAACTGGTCCGGAAAAAATTCTAAAGTGGTAGGTGGATTCGAACTCGCATTTCACAATCTCTGCATGCAGACCGCGAGACCACTGAATCTAATTACTAAAATCTATTTTGGAAACAACTAAGAGTAAAAACTATATCTCTCAATTCCAAATTTCAACGATATTTAAACTTAAATAAAATAATATTATTATGGTTTTAATGCAATGAGAATCCGATTTTTTCATGTCTGGCAAAAATAATCCGAATTAAATTGGAATTTCTTCGATTTAGTGGGTAAAAACTAAATCGATTTTAATGCAAAGGAAATCCGATTTTTTATGTAGTAAAAAACGATCATATATTTAAATAACATGCGGTAAATACACTTAAAATATACAGTAAATATTAATATTTTTAATAAGTCAAAATATGATAAGTTTGATCGAAGCTGCATAGTATGTGAAACAAAACGTCTAGAAGATATCCGAGGACACTTTTTTGAAACATACGATGGATGTTTCCTGGATGTCCTCTGAATGTATTTTGGATATGTGTGGAAAAGTTCTGTTATAAAAAAGATAATAGTATATTTTTTAACTATGTTACCAATTAATTCCAAGATAACAAATGTAGATGTTCTCTGAAAAATCAAAAGACATATAATATTCAATATACAGGGTGACCGACAATTACTTTAAAATCTCTCGTAGGCAGATAGAAGAAGTAAAACTGAGTAGAAAAGTCCTGAATCATTTTTTTCTATTACATATAATAAAAGAGTAACTATTGAATAAATCAAGCCAATCAGCGCCGACCTTTAGCCGAACGCACGTCAGTGAGCCGCGCAAAGCGCTCACCCACACCAGGCGCGTGGTTCACTGACATGCGTTCGGCTAAAGGTCGGTGCTGATTGGCTTTATTTATTCAATAGTTACTCTTTTATTATATGTGATAAAAAAAAATGGTTCAGGACTTTTCGACTCAGTTTTACTCCTTCTACCTGCCTACGAGAGATTTTAAAGTAATTGTCGGACACCCTGTATATAACTCTATATAACTAAATGTAATTATGTATGCATATTAAATCTTCATAAAATATATTTATGATATCTTAAAATGTCTTATAAATGTCTTATAAATGTCCTAAAAGCCGTCCTGGACATAGGTATTCAGGATAATCCTGAGGATGTCTTGTGCTGTCCGGGAACTTTTAACATCGTTTCTTTTATTAATTTAAGAGAAGTTTATAGTATTCATTGTAACTTTTTTCTAACTTAAATCTCTTAAATCTTGTACTGAGAACACAGAAGAACAGTTTATTTTATTATGAACATCTCTCGAGTTGAGACTCCTATTTTCTCGCATATACCTATATATTAAAGTATGAGCTTGTTGAGATTGCAATTTCGATTTCGAAAACCTTATCTTCTTACATCATGTTTGGAGTCTTAAAATATTACACATTGCTGCTGGCTCAAGACACAGTACACATTTGTTTGAGATTTAACCAAATTTGCAGTGATGCACAAGTTACATTGTTTTTAAGTATACCATCTATGTATTCTATGTACTAACCATTCAAGAAACCTGTAACTCGCTATGGCAGATCGTGTACCTGAATCTTGTTTTCTTTCATCACATGCTTGACACGCGCACGGTAGTTATAACCAGTCCTGTAGACGTGACACAACAACAAATTTAAAGGGACAACAAAAATTCAGATGACTCCTACGAGCCGTTGACCTGTATAACGTGCACTTTGAAATCATAAAGCGATCAAGATTTTTTAGCGATATGTTTTAAAAAGAAACATCAACAACAAAATATTGTCTCGACACAAATGTTGTCGAGAAAAATTTGAATTTATTAAACATTATCGAGAATATATAGTATATAGCAGAGATGTTTCTTCCTTCGGATCTCTCGAGAAAAATAATAATTAATTCATAGCCTCATATATATACAAAAACCATTTTTTTCTACTTTATTCTTCTGAAGGAGCTGTATTTAAATACCGTTTTCTTTTTATATAAATACTGTCATACAAGCTGTAGAGAAAAAAGATTTAAAAAACTGTAATTTTTTTCATCTGATCTTAATTGAAGGAATTCAATTACGAAATTAAATACGCAATGACAGCGTAAAATTATTAAAAAAAAAAACCACTTTAATGTCAAGAACATTGATGATCAGATACTATAAATAAAAAATTTCTCATGATATTTCATTAATTTAAAAGATATTTTCTTTCTGTGAATTACAGGCATGCACTGCCTAGGTGCGATGACAGGAGGCACCTCTAGTCCAAACGGGGCTGGGGGCCAAGGTGGTGTTCTTAGCATGTTTCGAGCCCTTGGAGTCCTTGTATGCGAGGGAAGGATTCAAGGCCCTCCGCGTGGTTACAAAGAGGGCCCGCACTGCGCACCGCCTATGCAGGCGGTTCCAAACGATCACGTGTGCGAAGAGACCAGCTATCTGGTAAGTAACATATGGTGTCCTCATTATTCTGTTGTTCCTAGGCAACCTACTTCCATGTGACTTCCACTTGAATATAAAGTTACTGAGAGAACTTGTTTTATTTTTACTAATATATGAACAAAACAAGTTTTTGCAAATATAAAGAGATATTAAAAAATTCTAACATAATACACATATTAATATAAATATTACACAAACTATGTATTTATGTAAAAATTTACTTTATATATTCATGAAAAATTGATAAACTTAAAATTTTATATAGTAGGTGATGTATTAGAGATTATTATATATTTATTATTATATTTATTATTATATTTATTATTATATATCTATTATTATATAAATTGTTATTGATGTGTTTTTTTAAGTGCAATCGATATCGAGTATTAGTTCAGGAGATCACGGAACACTTCGCTATCGGATCATATCTTTGTGTGGAAGTACTTTTGTGCAGCGATTGTCCATGCGGTTTAGCCAAATCTATTTGCAAACATCCCGCATATTCTATGCCGTCCTTATCCATCTCGCCATGGCAGAAATGTGCTTCGGAGATGTTGCTAGAGTATTGGTGCATTTGCATTGTACCGAGCAAGTAAGTAACTCTGATATTATTTTTATATATTATAGTAGTATGATAATTATTCTGTTGCTTTCTAGGAATCCAGAGCCGATGAATTTTCACGGATTATATCAAGCAGTACGTTCGCGATTGCATTTCAGTCAAGTCGCAGCGTGGTGGTCACGCAGCAACGGCGCGGACCCAAGCTACATAGCCACCCGGATCGTACCGCACAACGAAGACAATCTTACTAAGTTTTGTGAAACTCCAGTGGAGCACACTTTTCCTCAGGCTGGTAACGGCGATGGAAATTCCATTAAGGTATGAAAATAAATAACACATGACCTCTCTCTCTCTCTCTCTCATCCATGAAGGACTAACATCATGATAAAAATGCACTAGAGCACCATCTTGCTGAAACTAACATTTCTGGCGAATATTCAGTGGAATCAAGATATTCTGACATTTGATTCTGAAGGAATTTTAAATAATTGTGTTCGCATTCTGTGATGATCTTTGCTTAACCCTTTGCGGTCGGTGCCGCCACTGTGGCGGCATTTGTAATCTGTCGTAGAAGTCGGTGTCGCCGCTGTGGCGGCATGATCACGTCTCGAAAGATCACTCCACAAAAATTGAGATTAACAGAAAGCTAGCCATTTCAGACGTCTCACGCGTTATTTTACCATCGTGAAATATATGATAAAAAAAAAAAAAATGCGAAAAATTTACCGACCGCAAAGGGTTAATTCCTGTATAAGAGTTATGTGATAAAAATAGTATCAATTGTAATATTCAATCACCAGTCTTTTGGAATACCTAGTTGATGGTCCGCTTGATAAGCATGTTAATATGTGGATTAACATGGACTATTCTCAACACTGGGAAATTCTAAAATTATTATTGTTCTAAATCTGTTTCTTTGTGGCAATAGAATGGAATTTGTCAAAGTTGAAGTTGTTGATAAATGAGTACTAGTTCACACGAGGCATTTTGTGACGTGCGTTTGTAATAATCATTGGATTACCTATTGGCGTAAAAACGCAAACGCGTGTTTTTGTTTTGTTTTTTATAAAACGCTTCGTTTGTATGGACCGCACTTTTTGCTACCGCGCGCTTAACGCGGTAGCAGTTCGTGTGAACCAGGGCTGAAGTAAAATCCTTACTAGAAATAATATTACAACTGTACTTTTTAATTATTTTGCTCTCTACGTAAGACATAAAAAAAGTATAATTAAAAAAAGATATAAAAATGTTATATAAAGTACAATCTATTCAATGTGATTACTGATATTAACAAAACAAATGTACCAATAATTAATGTTGACAAATGGTAAATGTAAATTTTGATATGTTTTGTACAATATTAATCTACGTAAACTGCATAAAGTAAAAAATGTAAGAGAAATATGTATGTGAACTTTAATATGAAATTTTAAAAATTAACTCGTGTTATGATTCTGCAGCACTGAAAGATTGCAAAAACATTGCATAAATCTTACATTGAAACGTTGTAATATTGCGTGGTAGTTGCGAAATATTTCTGCAATGTAAGATTACAGTAATGTTACCGTACAATGTATTTGTAATATTAAAACGCAATGTGTTGTATCTGTAATATTGAAACACAATGTATTTGTAATATTGAAACGCATTGCATAAATATGCAAATTGCTTCAAATTAAATAGATAAACTTTGACAATATATAAAGACATCCAGGGTTGGGTAGTGTCTAGTTAAAAAGATAAAACTTAAGTTAAAAAGTTACAAAGTTAAATAATTTTAACTTAACTTAGTTACATTTTTGGCTTCTTCATTTTTAATTTAATTTAGTTATATTTTATCGGTAACTATTAACTTTTTATTTAAATCTCTTGAAGTTAGCCACGCTATAAGATTTATAGTACACGTTACTAGATCATGCGCACATATGCATGAAACGGAACGTGTTCTAAATTTTTAATTGCTCTGGATGTAGGATGAAAACAAAGAAAAAAGAGGTTTTCTACACTTTTAAAATCAAGTGTTCGGGAGTTTAACACCAACAACCATGCAGAAGTTCATTCAAGTACATTCAAAGAACAGATCTTATCAAAATCCGATGATTTTTTAAATACTTCATAATAAGACGCTAGATATCAGAACCAGAACAAAACTATGATTACAACAGATTATATTATTCACATTTACTTGTCAACCGATATATTTATGACGGAAAATGATTTTCCTAAAGCACTCAAACGTACTTTTATAAAATATAATCCATCATCTTCAGTTTATGATGAACGACTGTACAGTGCAGGAGGATTCGTTTTTGATAATCTTCGAGGAATGTCAGATAAACATTTCAAAATGGCTTTATTACGCAAATTTAATAACTTTTTGTAAACAAAATAATAAACATGTATCTGTCGAAAAAATATATCTATAAATATATCTAGTTATTTATAAACAAACCAATGTATCAAAACAATGTATGTTTCTATACTTTCTAAAAGATATACGATTTCTAAAATATACAAAAAGTATATTTCTAAATTAATTATTTAATATGTATAAAGTATATTTCTAAATTAAGTGTATATTTATTAGTTTTATTATATTTGTTATTTGTAAGACTAAAACACTGAACTCATGAAAAGAAAAATTTAACTTTTAACTTTTTAATTACTTTTTTTTATTAACTTAACTTTTTATCAATTAATTTTATTATGGGTTAACTTGTATCTTAACTAAATTACATTTTCAAGGTCTTTAACTTTAACTTAACTTAGTTAAAAAAAACTTAACTTACCCAACCCTGAAGACATCGAAAAGAGATGAGAATAAACTTGTTGCAAAATTGTGTAAATAATCTTTTTGCACTCGAAACTTACAATCAAATATTCGAACGTAAAAAGATTATGAACTTACACAATGTTGCAACGAGTTTGTTTACATCTGTCTTGGATGTCTTTATATATTGTCAAATTTTATTTATTAAATTTGAAGCAATTTGCATATTAAAAAAATATGAATAAATTATTGGTTTCATATAAAAATTATTAAACAATTTTGTTTGTAATTTCACTTTATTATATATATTACATTTTCTTTACCATAGCTCGACCGTTTCCATGAACCAGAACGTAACACTTGCTATATATTGTACGAACAGCCTCTATAACGCAAAAGTATATGATAGATTATATTAAAAATATTAATTCTGAAATGTATATATTGATTAAAAATAATAACGTAGACAAGTGTGTGATTGTGCTGGAAAAAATGCCAAAAAATATATTAATTACAACACATATTATATCAATTACATTATTTCTAAGATAGAAGATACTATTTTAAAAACTAAGAAAATTTTTATACACAAGTATCACGATGTAAAAAATTTGAATATATAACGTATAAGAAAATTGTAAAAAAATATTGACAGAGTAATAACCCTGATAGCCAAGCATGTTTTGCAAAATCATGTAACTTAATGCTGAGCTGAAGTTTTCAACTAGTTGCTGTGTATTTGCTGAATACATGATGCATAGTCATACGTAATCGACAACACGAAGGCAAATTTTAGACATTTTGTGTCAGCAGATTCAGAGCAAACAAAGAGCAACTATTGCTCATTACGTTGTCAACAAGATGACTTTTATTCATAGAAAACTCTTTGCTTTATCATTCGTTTTCGGCAACATAAAAGCAACATGACGATAACAAAACAAGACACCGATGTCTGTACTTCTGTCGTATGGTTGGTAAAAACTGTTGACATATATTTATTCTATCTTGTAGCCCATTAAATGTCGAAAACGAATGACCGTCTTTTAGAATAAGTAGAAAAAAATAATTATATTTTAGTAAGGAACAAGTAGTCTCGCGGACTGAGTGCAGGGATTGCAAATATGAAGGTCTCGAGTTCAAATCCCACCCATCACCTTAGGATTTTTTCCGTGTCCGGTACCTTTCATCGAGTTAATCAGTTGATTGGCGAACTAAATCAGATCTCCAAAGATTAATTCGACTGAAATCTCGAATTAATTAATTCCCCTTTCACAGAGCGATGTGTTATTGAATATATTTGTCCGTTTTCGACATATTGTATTTTTGTTGAAATTTATGACGTGTTGTTGGCAACTTGTTGTCATGTTGCTCTTTATGTTAGTGATAAACCGTTGACAGCAAATACACAGCAAGTTGTCGGCAACACATGTTGAATACGTGTAATGTCAAACCAAAGACAAATGCCTGACTCACCTTCTAAATTTGCTGAAAACTTAAGCGTTTTGTTTTCGGCAACATGACAGCAAAAACACAGACAGGTGGCTATCAGGGAATGTGCTGATGTGAGGAGTGACCTTGGATTTGTCAATAAGAAACAAATTGCAGAAATAGGCAGTCCAAACTGGCAGAGGTGTTTTGACAGATAATGAAGTATTATACATATATATATGTATATATATGTATATTACTTATTCATCTACTATATACATATATTATAATATAATATATTGTATATAATGTGATTTTTAAAGTAAAATTATTATATTTAGTTTACGTTTTTCATCTCTGTGCTGTTTCTAGATTCTGCAGAATAAGGGAATACAGAAATAAGTTATTAGAACTTTCCTTTTCCGCTTCAAAAGTATTTATAATAATATACTATAGACTTAAACTATAAACAATATCCTGAGAATTTTATAATATTATTATTTAATATACATTTCTACAACATTGTTGGAATATTTCGACGAAATATTGATATTGTATGTCTCTAAAACGTATCTGTAATATTACATTGCAACTTGCAATATTGCAACGTTTCTGACATATTACTGGAAGCTGTATGGAAAGAAATCAAAAGTACTTAACCTTTCAAAAACAAAACTATTCAAATTGAAGAAATCAAAAACCTGAATTTGCGATAAAAAAATGCTATAGTTTTTATTAAAATAATCGATCAAAATCTGATTGGATTTAAAACGAGTCCTGACCGCAAAATCTAATCAATCTTTCAAGAACATAAAATTGTTTGAAGACGTGAAATCTAGATTAGTGATAAGAAATTAGTAAAATTTATTTAAAAAATTGACCTAGACTTCTTAGCCTTTCTGATATTCTAAAAGTTTGGTCTTTTGTCATTTTTTTTTTAAAACCAGATTTTAATGCAGAAGTTAAAATGGGATACTTGTCATTACTCGTGTATGTGTGCATGCGTGCGTGCGTGTATGTGTATATACAATATAGAGTGTCTCTGAATTTAGTGCCAAATTTAATACAACGGCTAGTACATAAAAACAAATCGAAAATGTTTAATAGATATATGTCCAAATCTGAACGGTTTCGAAGTTACGAGATATTGAAGTTGCTTTTGTAAGAAAATATGAATTGAAATAAATGTGAAAAAAGTAAACAAACAAAGTAAATCAAAAGTAAACTAAATATACTTAAGTAGACTTCAATACCATCATGGATCATTCTTAACTCTAACATACTTTAACATAACATGCTTCGAGAAATACGACAACATACTAAGTCTTATTACTTTAATTCATGTTTTCTTACGGCAAGCAACTTTAACCTCATAATTCCGAAGAATTCTCATTTGGACATATGTTTATTAAACATTTTCGACTTATTTTGTGTCCTAAAGCCTTTGTACCAGTTTTGACACTGAGTTCAGAGACACCTTGTATAATGTTTAAGACATTTATGTTATAGATATTTATATAAATCAAATGTTAGTTAAATTTAAGAAAACATGTAATATAATTTGAATTAAATATATAATTGCGCGTCTTCTTTCTCTTGTACCAGGTGACCGTGTGGGCTCTGCCACGGATGGAGGAAGTACCTGTGCTTGCATGTTCTCTGCATCCAAAGACGGAAAAAGATGAAGAAGAAATTGCGAGGGCGTTAACGCCTACCAAGAGTATTCCAATAGGATCCGTCGATGTACAAAATACTGAGAATCTTGTTTTGCCTGGTAATGAACAAATGATGAATTTCTTGTCTATATACAGGGTGTCCTACCTAACTTGAGCATCTTAAATATCTCACTTATTTTTTTGATAGGAGGGTGCTGAAAAGAGTCATTCTTCAGTTCGAAGAGACAAATGCAGTAATGGCCAAAAACTTTTTTTCAAGGTCATATTTTTTAGGATTTCAAGGTCATTGTCATTTTTTTATCAGAGAGTATATATTTTTATCCGCGCGATATGATCGGCAAGATAAAGACAAATCCAACGATCTACAATACTATGATCTTCACGTAATCTTAAGTCTGAAAAATTTAGAAAAACTATACTAAAAGAAGTAATTAGTGAAATAACTACGACAAGGGAATTATATCAATGAAAACTTTATCGTAACAAATGCTACTTCCTCTTCTTCAGTAACAGTCTTCGATCGTTCCCGTTTGAGTGGTCTTACACTGCCCGTTTGGCAAAATAACGTCACTATGCGGTCAAAACTTTGTCGAGAAAGATGATTTCTTTCAAGGTGTCTCTCTGCGTATAATTGGGCAGCTTGTACAGAATTTCTTCCAACCTCACCATAAATTAAAAGCATTTCAATTCTTTCTGCTTCAGAGTACGACGCCATTGTTTTCCGAAAATAACGTAATATCTCAAAATTATCAGCTCAAATAAATCACAATGAATTTCCGAATCGTACTGATTTCTGAATCAGGAGAAGACTTTCTGAAGAAGAATAATAAATGTAAATTTGACTTAATGTGTTGATATTGAGACTACGTGTTTACTAAGTAGTCAGTTTAATGCTAGTACTTACTACAAAATAAAGACGTTTTCTTTTCTCTGATAATCTAGTTTGTAACTGTATTGAAGTCAATAGACATCATTTTGAGCATTTGTTACGATAAAGTTTTCATTGATAATTCCCTTGTCGTAGTTATTTCACTATACTTCTTTTGTACGGTTTTTCTAAATTTTTCAGACTCAAGGTTACGTGAAGGTCATTGGATTCGTCTTGATCTTGCCGATCATATCGCGCGGATAAAAATATATACTTTCTGTTAAAAAAATGACAATGACTTTGAAATCCTAAAAAAAATGACCTTGAAAAAAATTTTTTGGCCATTAGTGCATTCGTCTCTTCGAACTGAAAAATGACTCTTTTCAGCACCCTTCTATCAAAAAAATGAGATATTTAAGATGCTCAAGTTAGGTGAGACACCCTGTATATAGAGTGGAAAAAAAGTACCTGAATATCTCAGAAAATATAGGTTTTACAGAAAAGTGTTTCAGACAAAAGTAATACAGTTTAAAAATATCTATTTACTGAGATTGTGACTTTGGATTGCGCCGCCAAGGTCAGGTCACGGTCACATCGATGTTTTTAAATAGAACTTCCTATTTTTTATTGCAGATTCTTATAGCTTAACTCAAGACCTTTCCAAAACACTATAATAAAGTTTATTTTCATTAGGTACTTTTTGACTTATGAGGGTTGAATATTAGAGTATTGCTAATACTTTTTCTACGAAGATAATGTTGATCAAAACGAATGTTTTACTACTTTTGTCTAAAACACTTTTCTGTAAAACTTATATTTAAAACTTTTCTGAGATATTCAGGTGTTCCGCTACTTTTTTTCTACTCTGTATAAATATGTATGTATATATGTATAGTATATCTATATGTCTATATGAAAGATATAATATATGTAGATAAAATAACAAAATTAAGTAAGAAGGTAATCTTTTAGAGATTAATTTTTGTGACATTAAAACAATCGTATAAAAGTGTATCAACTATTTTTGTCGACAGCTTTGGTGGACGATAGATTACAGACTACTTGTAATAAATCTGGCAAGCACGATTGTCGCTGTGAGGAAGAAGATGCTTCACCTTTGTCGCCCACCATCAGAACTAACGGTGAGCGGAAACGTCGTCGGTCGCTTCCTTGTGGACCAGCTGATAATCCTATAACTTCGCAACCTGCGCCACTGCCGTCTCTTCAAGAAGGCATTCCGCAGAAGCATAATATTAATTTGAACTTAACTAAAGGTTTGACCGAGAACAACGCGGCGTCGCGGACTAATAAAAATAGATCAGAAAACAGAAATGAAGTAAGGACTTGCAACAATTTAAATTCAGATTCAGATCACCTGGAACGATGGTTCAAACTGCAACTGAGGATTGACGAGCGCGAAAGCAACATAGAAAAACGTTGCAAACGAACATCTATAGAAATTCCAACAGAGATTGCTCACTCGAAAAGTAACATCAATAGAAACGAGGAGAGCTATAATAATATCGTTAAAAATTCGACCTATAACGGAAAAGAATCTGGCAGTTCGTCAACAATGATATCTATAACAAAAAGTGGTAGTCTATTAGATAATTTTGCTCCCACCGGTTTTCGTTCCTTTGTCTCATCTTGGCAAACTAGTAATATAAACAGTAAATTTCAAAGTTTTCGTAGTAGAGAAGAAGAACAACAACAAATGCATTTTAATGTTCCCGGGGAAAGTTATAAGCCACTAATCATCAAAGATGCATCTAATCATGCTCCGATCGACCCTTATGCTCAGCCTAATCCTTTTCACGAGTCAAATCCCGGGCCTTCGACGCAAAAGTGGACACAGAAGTTTGACAATTCCGCTTGTACTGTGCACCAGAGTTGCTCGAAAAATGTTAACAAAGTTACCGCGGAGACGCAGATATCGACCGATCAGGAAGTCAACAATGAGGACAATATCGTCAAGAATGGACAAAGAAAAGCTGGTAAGCCAGATTTTAGTCAATTGATGTGGAAGCTAACAATTCCTGAGGAGAAGGATAAACGGGAAGAGGGAGGATTGCTAGATTGGTTCAGTAAAGTACCCGGAAGAGTGCTAGGTGTCGCGGCTACAAAAGGTTACGTCGATAGCAAAATGAAGAATAGATGTTTTAATCAGCCAATAGAACATACGAACGGGCAAAACGGCACCAACGAAATTAAATTTAAAAACTGCAATCTAGAGCTGAGTCAACGGGAAGTCGATGAAGTATTGGCGGTACTGCGAGCAAGAACACCATCAGGACGTAGAAGACCGACTATCAAGAATGTAAGAAAACGCGGAGAGAGATTCGAGAAAAGCGGTGACCATATAGTGGAGAAGGTTCTAGCAAAGTGTACGATTTTGGAAGAAGAAATAATCCGTGATAATTCAACGAATCGTCACGTTGAAACTTGCCAAGTTCAGACGCCAAAATTCTGTGAGAATTGTAATCGCGGATTGTGCAAAAAGATAGATCATCAGGTGCCTGAGGAGCAGCCGAGTTTGGATCGGATCTATTATGACAAAAACGTTTATCAGCCCGCGCATTCGAAATTTCCTGGAAACACTAACAGATCGAACGAGAAAGCGGAAACACGCGCGAGCGATGATACAGATTGCTTGCGGACTAAAGCGGACATGTTACTTGGAGCTATTCTGCGGACCAGCAGGGACCGAAAGGACCTGTCAGATGATTCATCAAATGGGACCAGAACGACTAGCATTGATGAGGATAGCAGTGACGACGATTTTCATTCCTCGAACATGGAGAAGTTCGATCAACAGGACCACAAAATAATTTCCTCGTCTAACGACGAAGAGAAATCTCTACCGCTAAATAAAAAATTCAGCAGGTTTCGGCAGCTATTTAAAAAAGAAGTAGATAAGAGGATCGCTATGATTTCGGACGAAAATTCTCTTTCCTCACTGGAAACATCGCCGAACTTGACACCACCGCAACGCTTTAATTCGTCATTGTTTCGCTATAACAACGAACTGCCGAATCTACATAACGCAAGGATTAACAAGGCAAGACGGCAAATCGATTTTACAAATTTATCAGAAATTACGGAGAAAAAAGAGGATGGTACATTAATTCCGAAGCTCAGTACAAAAAACGCACATCAAAAGTTAGTACGCAAAACGCATAGTACAAATTATAACGAGCGTGAGTGCGATTCCGCGGGCCTAAACAACCAGCAGAATCATTGCGACAGCAGACGGCTGCTTGAAGATACAAAGGAATCTTCTGAGAACGAGGAACGAGACGAGAATGCAAAAAAAGAGATGATTTCTGTTCTTCAGAAGAACAATTTAACTACATCAACTACACCGCAATGCGGACATTCGTCTTCCAAGATACGTAACAACAATCACAAGGACGGTATCGCAGAGACGGGAGACGACGAGACTGTCGACAAGAGCGTGCCTTCAGCCCTCGAGCAGGAGAAATTCCGCAGATCTCTAGAGAACGCGGCATCGATGGTGTTTCATAGTAGAACTGGTCTGCCGTTGACGTCTAGTCCGGCGCCATTAAGAAGAGGCAGCTGTTGTTTTGACTACGATAGCAGCTTGAACTCGGTCTCTTCCAAAAGAAAGTACGATATGAGAAGTTTGTCGAAATGTTACAGAAGTTTGACGGCACCAATAAAGAGATTTAGAAATGTTAAAGAAACTATTAATTAATTAACTTAAAATAAAAATCTTAATTAATGCAATATATATTTTTTGGTGCCGTCAAGTTAATATCAAAAGAGTGATGTCTCTCTCTTAAGTTAAAAATAATGGTTTTTACTTCAGCGCGTTGTTCGAGTTGAATACGCCGCCGAGTCCGGGCGCGGTCTCACTGGAGGAAACCGATCGTGAGGCGGAAACCGCCGGCGATAGCGAGGAGACGCTTAAAAGACGTTCCAGCTCCCGCCATCGACCGCAGAGTCACGCTCTTCTAGGCAGCTTCGAAGAATCGGCATTAAACGGCAGGCTTGAACCGGTATCCACGGTTCACGGTTTCACAGCAGAACTTGGGGCCAGCGGATCTTTCTGTCCAAAACACCAGAAACTTCCAGTCACCGTGTTTTTCTACACGCTCGGTGACAATGACAAAGTCTCCACGCCATACCTTGTACGTTTTCAGAAAAACGCAACTCGAAATAAATTAATTTGCATTTTATGAAAAGAATTTTGGCAACTCACGTTATTTCTTTTACACAGGCTCATATTAATCTAGAGAAAAAAGGCTATCAAGTACCAAGAAGTGGTACCATTCAAGTGACTCTTCTTAATCCACTGGGTACAGTTGTTAAAATGTTTGTAGTATTGTATGATCTTTCCGACATGCCGCCGCGATCTCACACTTTTTTACGTCAAAGAACATTGCGGGACAAAACATTGCGCTACCTCGTTCACCTTAGGTACGTACCATCTTAATCCTTTCGCTATGGCAAAATACAGAGCGCGCCTGACAGCAAACGTTCAAACTGATGTTACAGATGACGAAACTTTTAGCTGATCTGAATCCTGTAGTGTTAAAAGAAAAGTATTTAAAAAGTATAAAAATTGTCGAAACATGGAATTGCATTGCCATAAAAATATATGAATATCGATAATAAATCTCAAACATCTGAAAGCGCTTCTAACGTCATTTGAGCAATATCAGTTGAATGCTTGAAGGCGCTAGTAACAGTGAAAAAGTTAATTCGAATGGCGTCTCAAAAAGTAAATGAGAATAATTTATCAATAACTTTTGTTATTTCTTATTTCAGATTTATGTCTAGTAAGTCAGGTCGAATTTATCTTCATACGGATATTCGTATGATTATCTGCCGTAAATCCGACGTGGACACGGCGTCGGACTTAGGTTCAGAGCCGCCAAAAGAACTCAGGAGCTACACTCACGGTCCTACAAATCCGAAATTTTCGCCGAGGTGCTGAGCCACGTGGTACTTTCCATGGGGTTGTTGTCAATCGTTCCGCCCGTCTAGTCCCCTTCAAATCGAAGTGTAATGAATATAATAAGAGATATACTAATTGCAAACCAAATTGTATTCTTTAACCCTTTGCGATTGATATAATAATTACTTCTCGTGTTGACAAAAATAATATAATAGAAAGATGTTCTTTATTATAATTTACCAAGAGAAATAGGATATGTACAGTACCCTCTATAAATTTGAGAACATCCTGTCTTACAGGCAAACAATCGCATAACAGCGATTTGCGCATATTTTTTGTTTGAATACATTGTAAGACGTCCAAATGATGATAAACATTTTTATCTAGGACACTTATGAGCTTGTATATGCCAAAAATATATCAATCATTCCGTGGCATCCTGTTTGCGTTGTAAATACAGAGAAATAGTACATTGTTTGAAGTTGTTTAATTATAGTTTCTATAAAAGTGGTAAACTATTTGAGTCGCAGGCTGATTTCAGACTCCGTAAAAATTGTAAAAAAATCTACTAGTATTGAAAATAAATTAATCGCAAAACAAGTAACAATAGACAAACAATAAACTAGCGCGCGAAATTCACCTGAGTTCTTTGATGCCACGAAATAATTGGCCGATACATTTTCAGCATATACAAGCTAATAAGTGTCTTAGATAAAAATGTTTATCATTATTTCAGACGCCTTACAATGTATCTAAACTAAAAACATGCACAGATTGCTGTCATGCGATTGTTTGGTTGTAAAATGTAAAGTGTTTCCAAATTTATAGAGGATACTGTATATACATATAATAATACTTGGTGTGTGTGTGTATGTGTGTGCGCGCGCGTGTGTGTGTGTCAAGTATTATTTCGTTCAAAATTATCTCAGATCGCAAAAGATTAAGGAGGAGGGGCTGAATAAAAAAGTAGAGCAAAAAACCTTGAATGATTATAAACAGATTAACTGCTCGTGTTGGAATATTGTGCGTAATGTATTCTTTTTCTGTTTTTTTTTTACATCCAAGGTATTTGCATTACTCGACAAAAAAATAAATTTTTCTATTTTTTGCATTTCGGCAATTAAGTTCCAACACGAATGGTTTTATTTGAAACATTCGAAATTGCGATTATACTCCCGATATATAATTTTGCTGTGTATGGTTTGCACTTGCAATATAGAATGCAGCATATGCCTATATAGACATAACATGGGTTATAACTGGACGTTATAACTCCATGTGATGTCCAATGATCATTTAATAGAGGTTTATATAAAATATATGTTTTGTGTGAGATGTATACATTATTAAAACTACACTATTAGTTTGCATAGTTTCAATTTATACATTTAGTTTCAATTGCTACATTTTTGTTTTATATCATAATGATAGTAATATTTTATAGTTGGAAAGGTTTATTGCATTAAAACTTTACGATTAGTCTTTGTGTTTTGTAATCCAATATATAATAATGGTAATGAAAATTGGTTAACTCACAAGTAAGAATTTACTTCAGTCTTTATCTTGTACGTCTATTGTAATCACTACTATAATGCATGCTGCTAACCATATTTGATACGGAGTTATCGCAAGTGGACGATCTCGCGTTGTGGGAGGCCATTTTCTCAATTTATTACTGTAAATATAGTCATAGTGTAGAAAGTAAGTTGACTAAGAATTTTTTTAAGCAGGATAATACTGCCATTGTGTGTGTAGTACTTTACGTTAAAACAAAGAAAAGTGATATATATATATGGAAAAACGCGTTGATGAATTCAGTCTTTTGCTTGAATTAGACATGAATATATCAGATAGATTACAATACACATAAACAAATAGCACGTGCAATGACAAGTACAAAAAGTTCTTTGTGTGTGTTCATGTTCTCGTAATGGATAAATTTTTGATGAGACGTAGCAGAGAATCCGTAGAAGAAAGGTCAAAAGTTTTTTTTCCAGAGAACAAATGTGATTATTGCGATTTACATTAGTGTAATTCATTCTTTCTCTTTTAAAATTCTATTAACGTGAACGACTAGAGCTTGTGACAGTTTTTTCCAGAAGCAAAAAAATTATTACACACGTGTATGTATATATTATATAAAATCAGAACACACTTTTGTGTCCGTAGCACTGTGATGAATATTTTGATAGACTATGAAAAAGAGTAATTATACTTATTATTATAGAATAACTTTCTGAGTAGTGAACATGTTGTAGATGTAATTAATTTTACTAATACGTAAAAAAAAGTACGAAAAAAGTATAAACGTACATAATAATAAATTAAATAAAATAATAATAATAATATTTAGCCGCAAAGTTGATACACCCGTTTTAGAGCAAAATCGTTCAAAGCAAACAAAACGTAACGCTCACGTTTTCCTTTATTTTTCTAATGCCTTTCACTCTAAAAAATAGCGCTCTTCTATTTATGACTTACCTCACATACAAAGAGCTTGTTCAAAAACTAATTTACGACTCTTACCTTTTTACATACAAAGACACTAAAATGTGCAACAGTAATATCGATTCAACATGGAATAAACATGCAAAATACATTTTCCAGAAGGCTCTTTATTAGGGCTAGAAATAACAGTCGTAACTAGGATGTACAAAAAAGGAAAAAAAAGATACTGTATATATAAAAAAGAATTATTTTCACTCGTGGTTTTTAAATGAATAATTGTATATATAACAATATATGTAACAATCAAAAGTAATAATTTTTATATAATTAATATAATTTTGATTGTAAAACAATTGCAGTTTTTTTTTTTTTTTTTTTTTTTTTTTTTTTTTTTTTTTTTTTAATTAATTTTATCAATACGTGTATGTATACAGGGTGTTTCAGAACTATGGGATCAAACTTCTAGGGGTTATTCAGTGCAACAGTAGAAAACATTTGAGTATAGGGACCCATGTCCGGAAAAGTGTCACTACCGCACTACGGCCCTAAGACGCGTTAAAATTTAGAAAGACG